GGTGGAGGGTGGGGGGGGGTGGTGGAGTCAATTTAAGAGGGAGGGAAGGTTTATCTGTGCCCTTATTCTGCTGCCGGGAGGCAGAATAATTCTGTCCAAAATTTACATGTACAATGGAAACGCCATGATAATGATGGAGATATCTTTTTGGCTGCGGATATTGTTCCAACAACCTTAGATAAATCCGAGGTATTGATTGGTGGAGCTGGCTTCACCCTAACCTTAAACTTTGCTATCTTAATGCACTTCAAGTCAACATAATGGAAGAATATCCATATTGTATATTTTTTCCTATTTACAGATTCTCTGCTGAGTGACAATTGAACATGAGCTATCCAGGATACCCAGGAAGTGGTTACCCCCCTGCAGGGGGTGCAGGGTATCCCCCAGCACCTGGTGGCTACCCACCACCTGGAGGAGCAGGATATCCACCTGCTGCTGGAGGAGGCTATCCACCTGCATCCGGAGGAGGCTATCCTCCTCAACCTCAACCAGGTTACCCACCAGCAGGCGGTGGAGGTTACCCCCCACAGCAGCCAGGCTATCCTCCCTCAACAGGGGGATATCCACCAGCTCCAGGGGGAGGCTACCCAGGTCAACAGCCAGGCTATCCTCCTCAGCAACCACCTGCAGGATACCCTCCTGCCACGGTATGTACTGTATTATCAAAACCCTTTTATCATTTCATGAAAGTTTGTTAAGATGGATTGATGAGGAGAGAAAAATAATGTTGTGAGAGTGGTTACTGCTCCATTGATAGTTTTTTAATAATAATGGCGGTAATAATGGTTTAGAATTTGATGAAGCCATATATGTAATTTGGTTTTATCATTTCACAAATTTAATTTCAAGTAATTAAATAATGATGCATTTTTTATTCAGGGTGGTATGCCAAGTCCAGGCTATCAACCTGGCGGACCCCTGCCATACAACCCAAGCCCACTGGGATTTGCGGTAAGTCATCATCAGCAATATTGTGACGTTCAATACAGTAATGCATAATCACAAAACTCACATTATTAATCCAGCTTAATTATTCATAGTAAGATGTAATATAGTAAATTTAAGTAAAGATATACACTTATACAATCAGGCAAACTTCGATCAAATTAATAGATACTAGAGCATATCTGGCCATATGGAAAAATACATGATGGTAGTGTGTGGTAAAAAATATATACAGTCAGACAAAGTATGGTCATTCTTTGTCTAACTTGGTAGGTAAAATATCACCTTTTTGGTGTAGCTCATCATCATCATCATCAACATCATCAACATCCTCATTATCCATCCTCATCATCCGTCATCCTCATCATCAACATCATCATCATTATCAACTTCAACATCAACAAATCAACATCAATGTCATCATCCTTATCATCCATCACCATCATCATCCTCATTACTCATCCTCATCATCATCATCATCCTCATTACTCATCCATCATCATCATCTCATCATCAACATCATCATTATCAACATCAACGTCATCATCATCATCCTCCATCGTCATCATAATCAACATCAATGTCATCATCCACATCATTACTCTTAGTATGACATTCATGCTTGCTCACATTATAAAAACTAACATACATGCATTATACTGGTGATTATATCCAAATGAAGTGATATTAATATATCCTTAAGGCTTTAAATCAATATCCTGTAGTAATAAATCATTTCATTTACATAGCAAAAGTTGCTATTTCAAGATATAAATTTGGTAAACATCCTAATGCATAAAGTTTTTTTGTATCAGAACTAAACCTTCGTAATATCAATTTTGACGTGTAAATATGTATGGGTACTTTTATTATACGTATATTTTACTGTATATAGGCTTCTTAAAAAGTGTAAAAATGCCATTTGTGCGATAAAGATTGAAGTAATTTTTTTAAAAGAATTCGAAAAAGTAATAATTTAGTTAATTTACATTGTAAAGATTTCTATTTCAAGATATTATTTGGTAAACATTGTTAAGCATTAAGTTGTTTTATGTCTCAACTTATCTTTTTCTAATTTCTAATTGGATGTGTAAATATGTATGGGTAATTTTACTTACTGTATATTTTACTGTATATAAGTTTCTTAAAAATTGTAAAAATGAAGGATAATTGTCTTTAATTACCTTTGTGAAAGTGAGGAGCAATAAACAGTGTGAGTTCCCACTAAAGAGAAAAGAAAAATAAGTATCCTGTAAGGAATTTCTAATTTTCTATTGATGTCACAATTTAGTCTTCACAGCCAGAACCTAGTAAGCAGCAATATGTAAGTTTGTAAATTGGGCTTTTGTAATAATATGTGTTGCTGTATGTGACAATTAACATTTATTTTTTTTGCATGGGGAAATTGAGGGAGCATGAATACTGGATACCTTATTCAGTGGAGTAAACTTCCTCCCCCGGAAAGAAGGAGAATAAAATCAGAACAAATGAAACCAAAAGTAGAATGGATAATTCATTAATTTCATCAGATTGTAAATCGATACATTCAATATAAAAATGTTTATAGATATTTTGGTTCCATCATATTTTTATTTGTTAACCTACTAATGCAAATGTTAAGCCTAGAACCTGTGCCTAAGTTTTACAAGTATATATTCTATCTACCTTGAGTGGTATACAGTACTGTTGAAGAATACTTCCCGTAATATACACTGGCATAACAAAGAGGCTTGTGAGGCTCCTGGCTAAGGCTACTTCGGCCCTACTATTCTGGGGGCTGTGTTCAGGCAGAGCCGAGGTGGGTACGTAGCAAACCCTGTCCGCTTTGGCATTTTTAGTGTTTTATTAAAAAGATCGAAACAAAACAAGTTTTTGGGGCAAAACAAATTTTGAGGCAAAAAAAGTTTTGAGGCAAAATTTGTAAATGTTTGAGGCACTGTATGTGTGTGTGTGCTGAACTGTGGCGATCTCTTGGTCCCCGGTTCAATTCCCATTTCCGCTTTCCTTGTATTTCAGCTAGAGGGTTGAAATGCAAGTTACGGTAGCGCATTGTCTTTCGGACGAGACATTTAAGCCATTTGGTCCTGTATGTAATATGGCCAATGTGCACATGTTAAAGAATGCAGTACACTCTTCGGAAAGAGTAGGGGATTGTCTCTCCGGTGTACTGTCCAATCACCACCAGAAGGACCCCACTGGAAGTAAGTCTTCTTCAGACTTTCGTGGATTATCAATGGAGTTACACCAAATTAATCCATCCATCCATCCCTTAATATCTGGGTCCCTGCCTTAGCCAAAGAGAGCTCATGCCACTACCCATAGGCCTTTACATCATACATGTACTGTAAATTTCAGTGTTTGCTATTGCGATATCCCTTTTTGGTGGGAGTCACTCAATCCTATTTATATCATGCTTATCAATGCATATAGTAATTCTCCATGTGTGTGTGTGTGTTATATGTGTGTTTTAGTTTTGATTTCACTTTCTAATTTTTTTATTTTGAATAGTTTTGTTTATAATTATTTAAATTAGGTAAATTCAGAATTAATTCATGTATTACTAAAAAAAATTATTGTTTGTCATTTGTTTTTATCATTAAGGCTATGTTCAGACACAGCAATCACTGGCATACGATAATCCACCAACAGACCCCAGAATTAGCGTATGCCAGTTACGTCAGTTACGCTATGGATTAACGTACACCCTGCGTTAAATACCCCCCTGCGCATCTCTCAGGTCTGAACGTATCCAAACTCTTTTCACCTTGGAATTTCATTTCTTACATGTTAATATATGTTGCTATTGGTATTTTTAAACATGGCTACATGGTTTTTTATTTATTTTGGAACATTTATTAAGGATCGCCAATAATAACAATTCATTAATAAACACTCTTGATAACCTTAATATAGTGCTTTTATCATCAGGATGTGAAAGAAAAGAAAAAATAATAAGAATTTTGGAGAAACATATTGTATCAAATCCAAAGTATGAATCACATTTTTAATACAAAAAAACCATAAATATATAAAATAAAATAAATAAATACTTAGTAGTGACCATTGTTTGAGTGACAGTCCATTACATTAATGCAGCACACACATATAGTACATGCATTAGTGTTTTGTCCCCTCCCCTTAAAATATTTGTGTACCATCAAGCCCCTAGTTTATCCTTCTGAAAACTTGTTGAGCACTGACTTAAGTTACAAATTATCTTCATTCCCAAGCTAGCATTTTTTACACCCAAACTACCAATGCCAAGTCTCATAGATATGCAAACCACAGGAAGTGATCAAAACTACTCACAAACAATTCTATTTATTCCAAAATGTGTATGTTTCATACACAGAGCTATATACCCTGCACGCAAGCCTTAATGTTCAGTCCTAAGTAAAAGGCAATTAGAGTAAAATAACAAATGGATGTGCACTACAAAATGGAATGCACTCCGAAGATATATCACTAGTTTTTTTCAAAATTATAATACTCTTCATTATTAACATGCCATTACCTCTACCATGACAGTAGAATAAATGCAAAAATAATTGTACAGTATCCATTGTGTTTGTGATATTTTACACCCTAACAAAACATTAAAACAAGGTTTCAAAAAATGGTTCATGATCATATACTGTAATATAATTTTTGTTTTAATATTTACTGCTTATTTTTAATTTCATAATATGTTTGTTGTTTTCATTATTTTACATTCAGTTTATTTAATTAATTCATTTAAAAAAAATTTAATTCATTTTTATGTATTCATAAAGGTTTAGTATGTGACAAACTATAATTATTTTAGACTTGTTCCAGTGGGGGTCGGATAACATGCACTCGCAGGGGTCCCAAATGGGGACGGCCTCCTGCACTCCCGCAAGCAACCAAGAATCCCCGGATATTAACCAATCTCCACAAATTCGTAATTTTGCATGCTTTCACTGCTTTATTATCAATTTTATCACGGAAGTCAGAGCCGATAGGTATCCTTGTGCAGCAAACTAAAATTAAATGTGTTAAGAAAGCTCATTAACCAGATCAGTGGCGAATTTAAGGGTGGGGGAGGGGGGTAGACAAGAACATTATATTCAAGTTTAAGTCTGAGAGGGCCATTTCCAGTGCCATAATCATAAATTTTCTTACCCCAGCCCCAACCTCGTTTACCCCTGCACCGCAGATTTCCTGGAAATGACTTCTTCGAACTTGGGATCCCTGCACTCGCGCTGCGGGTCGCCAGTTGAGAACCCCCGATTTAGTTTATTTTAATGGTGATTATGAATAATAAGTAGTTTTATTCAAGCTTTCATTGTTTAAAAACTGATTATTTGAAAACATTTTTGACTATTTACAAAGAGCATACGTTTTAAGAACATGCTTATTTTCTTATGCATCCATCAATTTTAATATTGGGATGGGGTAATGTTGTTTTGAATGAAGATTACAATAATAATGATGATTATAAAGAGCCTGACATGAAATCACTATCATTAATGTACCTTATTATTAGCAATAATGAGCATCATCATCATAATTGCATTTACATAGAAAATACCGGTACTTGTACGAATCGTCTTGTACATTAATGATAATGATTTAAAGGTCAGCTTTATGTATATATCCTATTTTTGGAGATTATCTTATTTTTGGAGAATTCAAGGCACTGACGGGCATTAAATAAAAATAAAGAAAACTTTAATTTTTTTCAGAAGTTTCCATTTTTTGTGGCAGTGGTTGCGCTAATTGGCCAAAAATTAAATTTTATTTTTATTCTTTATCATCAAAAAACAAGGCAAAACAAGGTATAAACAAAAGTTTCGTCTAAGATGAAAATCATCAATCAATATCATGATATTTGTCCCTAGTTATAATACTTTTCATCATTATTTAAATGAATTAGGTAAAAAATTATAATTTCCTTATTGACAATCGTGTGGCCTTTATACAGTAATTATAGACTTATGATTACTCTAGTTCCCGGAATCCAAATATAGTATAATTATTTAAAAAAATCCTTAACAAAAAGTGTATTTCTATTCTGTAACATAAGAAGGCATGTATTTTAACTTAATATTGCTATGATTTCAATTTGCATTTTGACATCCTTTGAAGCTTCTTTTCATCTTCAGCTTCTAATTTTAATATGCTTAAAAAAAAGTGATCGTGGGATGATTTGTAAATTAATGATATGCTTATACTTATAATCCTATGGGACTTAATATGCTTGAGCATGTTTGACTTTGGTTAAGTTATTGCTTGTCACTTACAAATGAACTGAAGTATTAAGAATGATGTCAGAGATTACTCATGTTTGAAGAGTATATTGCTATAATACCTGCATACAGCTATAGTGAGATTTGCATAAGAGGTACATCCTTGATTTCACAGTATACATAAATTATAGCATAGTGTTGTCTTCACAAATTTGCTGACAGGAAGTCCAAAAATTATGATATCGGTTCCTGGAATAGAATCGTTGGTGGGGTTCATGGGTAGAGATTTTTTATGGTTTATGATGGCCCATGAATTTGTGCCTTTAGTAGATAATATTATGGATTGGCAATGACAATAACTTGTTTGGATCAGCAAATTGATAATGTTTGTCTGATGACCTTAATGAGGCTTTAGATGTCAGTGGGCACATGCTTGTCTCATTGGGGTGGGGAATTCTCCACCACCGCTGCGTAGAATATTATTTTGAATGAGGATATGGTGACATAAATATTTATTTAACAATGTTTTAATAAGGCAGTTCACACAAACAAGCTAACTCAAAGAGGCCTTTATACAGGTACAACACATGTAATAGATGATATACAGTTGGAATGAAACTGTAAAGCATTAAATATTAAAAGAACACATTAACAATTTAAAAGTCAATTTAGTATAATTAATTTAACATTCAACAATGTCTCAAATACAGTATATACATATACCACAAGCTGTATGAATACTTAGAAAAATAACATTTCTGATAACTTAAAAAGTAATTGATAGCTTCTTTTATATTTTTATCATTGTCTACTGTACTATGCTGTACTCAAGCAAACAAGACTGTGTTTTATGATGTAGTCAAGGGCAATAAATCTCATTGTGTTATTATGTCATCAAATGAAAGGAAAAAGTGTATTTTTTGTGTATTGTACTGTGTTAATGTTTACTGAGCCGAATAAATGAAATGAAATGAAAGTAAACATTGATAATATCTCAATAAATGGATAGCCACTTGCATATATTTATCATTGTCTGATCTGTACTCAGCGTCAAACAAGACTTTATTTTATGATCTAATATCTAGTCAAGGACATTCAATCTCATTGGGTTTTATAATTAATGAAACAGGTGACCTCAATATTATAAATAATTGATGTCAATTTGTTAGATCTAATTGAATAAGTAGTCTATGCGTTGTAAAATATAATTGCTGTATACATATATCAATGTAGAGGAGTTTAGTAGTAGGGTTTAAAGGAGGGATAAAGGAGTTGGGGGAGGGGAAGGTTGGTGAGCTATGTAGACATAAGTGCCTTATCTAATTGCATACATCTGTCTTCAGCAGATCCACAATGTTGGTACTTTTTGTTGTTCAGGGAAAATTTCCCCCATCAGATAAGCATGGACCTATTATGCCTTATAATAGCATAACAAGGTTTTTTAACTAAAAAAATCAATTTGCCAATTCAAAGAGTTAATGTATTGTGATTACCAGTTGGTCTAAAAACACAATATTGGGTTATCCTATACAAAAATCTCTCCATGTGAACCAGGGAACCTGACAAAGGGTCTAGCACAGTCCAAAAGTTTCAAGGTCTTTTTATGATACTCAACATTTTTTCTTTATTTTATTATTTTAAATGATAAGGTCTCAGCAAACATATACCACAAGCTGTATGAATGTAGCACTATTATTATGTATGTGGTGTATGTCCAATTTTGTAGGTTGATAGAATGTATTTTTGTAAATTAATTTGTCAAAACAATTTTCTGGATATCGTATTTGTTATATATAATATAACCAGTGCTATCATTGATAGATCGTGCATATTACATCATATCATGATAAATATAACAATGTGCTGGTATTTAAATTAATACTATCTTGACAACAGGTCAGGAGAGTGCAGCTTAGCTCAGTCGGCTAAACTTGTGGTAGTCACTTGTGTGTGCGTTGAACTGTGGAGATCTCTAGGTCCCCAGTTCAATTCCCATCGCTGCCCTCCTTGTGTTTAAGCCGCTGGTCCCGTGTGCATTATCATTAAAGAATGCTGTACACTATTTGGAAAAGAGTAAGGGATTGTCTCCCGGCATACTACCCAATCACCACCAGAAGGACCCCAAATACGTCTACTTCAGACTTTTGTGGGTTATCCTTGGTGTTAAACACTGAATAAATCCATTCATCCAGAATTCAGGTTACATATTGTGTGCCATGTAATCTAAAAGCACCTAAGCATTCTCTTCTATAAAGTAATTTAGGCACATTATTATAATAATAGCATGTTGTATATGATTTGGTAAATTATTACAAAATAAAAAATTCATAAACTATTCACAAGACTAATTTGGTCTGTATATATAGTGAAACAATTTATTATATATATTTGAACAATATTTTAATCAGATGTAACAAATCGGCAACAATACCTGATATTGATTCTCATACCGATACTTTATTGTGCACCATAAAAGTGGAAATACATTTGAAAGTGGCAGAATAAATACTTTAAAAAATACGTCAATACAGAATTATCATTAATTGAGAATAAAAAATAGACCTATGTAAAGCATAATCAAGTACAATGTTACAATAAAATTAATCATCGATAAGAATAAGAAATATATTTACCTATATTAATAATTTATAACTGTATATCAAAATTACATTAAAAATGTAAAAAAATGAAATCTGTTTGACCCTCAACAGAAATATTATACAATATTGAAGTGACATAATTTTTTTAAATACAATCTAATATTATCCTTAAGAATATTAATATTTAGAAATTAAAAGGTAAACACAAAAACAACTATGATAGCCCTATAACAGTTGGTTATTAAAGAAATGTATGATAATTATGTGTCTTTTATTGAAATAGCAAATACATACATTTATTTAAATTCTTTACTAAATAACCACATTGTTTAGAAATGTTTTACAAATATCGTAGTAGAAATGCATTATGTCAAACAAATTATTAAATTATTTGACAACTGACATGTGTGTGATTTGATATTTCCTCAAAAGGATATATGTGCTTCATTAAATATACAAATAAAGTAAACAGCTGTTTAAATATGCCATTTACCTGTGTTTAGTTTTTGAAATTACTGTATAAGACAATAATAAATATGTTGTATTGACCATATTTAATAATTTAAAATTTATTTTCAGAGAAAAATCTTACCTCTTATTAAGACAATTGACCTGAAATTTGATTTAAAAAAAAATTAGTGTGATTTTGTTTCAATTTTTGGATAATGTATACATTATGCAATGAAATCTATGATACAGTACATTCAATGATAATTTTATCTGACAATGTTTTGGTTTAACATTCCATTTGCACAAAATACATACTGTTTGTTTTGTTTCAACCTGTCCGTTATGTTTTTTGTGAACACTTACGAATAATTTTTGTTTGAATTGTTTTGAAATATTATTACAATATTAAAAGTTTTTCTATTAGGCCTATACTTAACATAAAGTTTTTGGACTCTGATAAATTCAAGCATTTTAATACCTTTTTTTTAAAAATCATATATGTCTGATACAATCAATATTCTATAGTGTACCTCACTTTAATGTATAATGTTGCAAAGGTTATAAAAATGTTTAAAAAAAAATCTTTTACAACATTTTTTAGGGTGCAGCAATGGCAACAACGGCTTTCCGCCAACACCAACCACCAGGTCCTGGCATGCCAATGCCTTCTGCTGCTCCTCCTGGCCCAGCTAATGTAGGTTGCCAATTCTACTGTAATTCTTTACTTGTTAATAAGGTTTATGGTGATGGTGGTGGTAATGATTGCAATGATGATGGTGGAGTGGGGGTTGGGAGAAGAGAATTATTTTAATGATATTTTGATTATGATAAATTTTATAGTGGTGATAAACATTGCATGAATATTATCCTCATAATTTTTTTCCTGTGATGATGAAAATTAAGCTGATATTGCCGATGATGATGATGATGATGTTGCGAGGATATATGATACTTGGCAACAAGAAAAAGAAGATGATGCAAGTTGAAATAATTTTTAAAATGTAGTTATTTTTGTCTTTGCAGTACCAGCCACCAAGCCAACCTCCAACTCAGCAACACCAAGCACCTAGTCAAGCACCCAGCCATGCTCCAGCTCAGCAGATGGCTAATATGAAAATCAGTGACATGTACCAATACAGAGTAAGATATATTCCACCCTCTTGTATTTACAGTAATAATGTGCATTATTTTATTATTTTGTATTTTTATATTTTTCATAGGAAAAGTGAGGGGACTACAATAATAATAATAATAATAATAATAATAATAATAATAATAATAATAATAATAATAATAATAATAATAATAATAATAATAATAATGCCAAATATTTATATAGTGCCAATTCCAAATGAATGAATAAAGGCACTAAGTGTTATTACCTCTGATCACTGGATAACATACGACAAACCAGCACAAAATGCAACCTTCCTTGCACCCTAGGGAGTATACCTAGTCGTGTGCTTGTACTCAGCGCACAAAACTAGTACAATCTATGCCACAACATCATACCACCAGGTACCCATTTATACTCTTGGGTAGGGAGAGACAAGCGTAGATAAAGTGCCTTGCACAGCAAGATTTCCAAAATTTGACCTCAAGGTTAGGAGTCCAAGCCAAAACCGATGCACCAACCGCTTCTACAAGTAGTTAAGAGAATTTTACCAAAGAAGATTGTTTGTAATGTATGGCTTAAATTGACCACTATTTCCAAAACTATGAAATTAAAAATTTCAATTTAAAAAATAAAAAAATGTTTTAAAAAATGAATACAATTTTGTTGTTGTTGTATGTTCTCAGGGAACCGGTGTTTGTAAGGATAAACCTGGATTCGATGGCCACAAGGAGGCTGAAATTTTGCGCAAGGCCATGAAGGGAATTGGTAATTCAAAAATCATCATCATCATCATCATAATCATCATCATCCTCATCATCATCCTCATTATCCATCCTCATCATCCGTCATCATCATTATCATCTTCAACATCATCACCAACATCATCGTCCTCATCACCAGTATCAACGTCATCATCCTCATCATCCATCATCATCATCCATCATCATCATCCTCATCATCCTCATCATCCACATCATTACTCTTAGTATGACATTCGTGCTTGCTCACATTAATATGAAACTAACATACATGCATTATACCAGTGATTATATCCAAACAAAATGATATTAATCTATCCTTAAGCATTTAAATCAATATCCTGAAGTAATAAACCATTTAATTTACATAGCAAAAGTTGCTATTTCAAGATATAAATTTGGTAAATATCCTAATGCATTAAGTATTTTTATATATCAAAACTAAACCTTCGTAATATGAATTTTGACGTTCATCTTAATTTTTATCAAAGTCACCATAATAGACCTTTCTGCTAAGCCCCGCCCCTTGGATATTGTTGCTAAGGTCCCACAAAACTCTTTTTTGATTGGTCAGTTGTTTTTTCCTAGCTCTTTTTTGATTGGTCAGTTGTTCAGTTTGATTGACACTCTTGAAAGATCTATTGTCCTTATTAGTACCTTCATCATTATCATCATCATTGCCATCTTCCTCATTAAGATCTACATCTTCAAATTCGTCATCAGAATAATTATCCTCATCATAATTACCATCATCATTGGCAATACACCCTCACATTTCCATGAAGGAGACAAGAGCTATATCAACTTAAATTTTCTGTTTTCACAAATTTTAGGCACTGATGAAAAGGCCATTATTGATGTACTAACAAGTTGCTCCAACAAACAACGTCAGAAGATCATCCTTGATTACAAGACAATGTATGGAAAGGTAATAATTGTTATACAAGCAATGAGTAAACTACAGCAGTCATTCCAAAGAGTGCATACCTCCGCCCTATGCCTGAATGCAGAACAATACGCAGGCTATGTATATGATGAACGGCAGAGGTGGCGCCAACATTGGGGTCAGGGGCCAGGGGCCAAGGGCTCCTGTCGGGGACAAAAACCACAACCATGAAAAATATATGTATTTTCTACATATTAGTAGACTCTAAATTTTATTAAATAAGCCTTTGAAACCCCTTAAATTTTTATATTTTTTGGCCTCCTTTGACCACTTTTGAAAGATTTTGAGCAACACCGACCACACCCACTTTCCTGTCGTCGGGGACATCGGACCTCCTGTCAGGCAAATCATGGCACCACCACCCCTTGTTGGCAATTCCGTTATTTTTTGCTCTGTGCCTGAATACCGAACAATAGGCAAGCAGACCATTCCATTATTTTCTTTTATGCTTGGGGTAAAAAATTGAATTTCCTTGATTTTGACCTTTCCTTCCCAAAATTTAATCATCTCTTTCTTAGAATATTATGTACGATTCTACAAAATTTTATGAGACAGCCAGCAGTGAATACTTAACCTCCTTTGGTGGTGGTAATAATAATATTAAAATAATAATTGATAAAAGATAGGTGTGTATAATTAAGTAATTTTCTGGCTGAATTTTATCTCTGCAGGATCTTATCAGCAACCTAAAAGGAGAAATAAAGGGAAAGTTTGAGAATGTTGTGCTAGGGTTACTGCAGTTACCTGCATTGTTTGATGCTTACCAACTCAGGAAAGCTATGAAGGTAAACGATATATTTTATTTGAATCATATTTGATTGGCATGTCCCTTCAAGATAAGCCTGATAGGTCGGCTGAGATTCAGGGGTCTTCTTAATTTTTTCAATATTAATGTGATACAAACATCCAGACACATAATTTTACACAGACAGTTGAGTACTAAGGGTTATTGAGATATTCCTGCCAAAGTCAACGTCAACTTCTCATGATGAACTAAAACTTTTTAAAAATAAGTTGGTACAATTGCTACACAATTGGTGTTCGCAATTCACAAAACTCCACAGGGAATGGTAAGTTACATCCAGTGAGCATGCAAAGAACCATGCTAAATTTCACAAGAGTGTTACAGGCCTCCTCGATATCTGTGTTTCTTACACGGATATTACATGGGAGGTGGGCATTCACATGAATACAATTGAGCAGGGAATGTGCGATAAATTTTCCCTAGCACAGAATATGTAATCTTGTGTGAATCGCGTAATAAGTATAATTACGGGGGTTGGAGGTTGGTGGTGGTTTTGTTAGTTGTGAGAAAATAATCCTGACATTGGTAGAGGGATTAAGACCTTGGACTCTGGGATTGAAAGACAAGCAGAATAATCATGAAGTTAGAGCTCCATTACTATCTAAACAATAATATCAGAGGATTGATAAGTATTTATACCTACTGTAATGGTGCAGCCGATGGCTTCTTGATTGATTATGAAGTACTTAAATTGTGTGCATTGAATTTGTGTGCGATAGATCATTTGATAGAAGCCTTAAATTAATTCTCTTCTTTCTGTGTTGACCTATAAACAACATAATCCTATATTTAGATTGCTTACTTAGCATGTTTTAGTAAGTAATAAGCTGCCAATTGAAAGTAATAGGAAAACAGAAACTTAACAATACAATTTAGTTATTTGTTTACTTTGAATGCTTGAGGAAGTTGTGAACTTTCAATAAAAAAATTTGAATGAGAAAATATTTCTGCACCAGAACAGAAGAAGGAGAAATATTCTCTACAGTTTATCTGCATAAAAACCATTAAATTGATTGGAAAGCAAATTATTAATATGCATTTTGAAAGTCTGTAAATTAAAAAAAAAAAAGAATCTTCTTCTTTGGATGCTGGTATTTTCCTTGTGGTTGATGTATGTTTTGCACGAAGAATTAAATTATTATCTTTTTTTGTTTTTAACGTTTAAGTAGCTTTTCTGTGTACATTGCCACTTTGTGTATTTAGGGAGTAGGCACATTTTAAACAAGTGCAAAAATCCTGTAAAAAATAATGGTTTTAAACCATGAAGCTAAAACCTCTTCTGGTTACGGTCCTGTGCTTTGACTGAATAAAACTAGAAAAAAAAAATGTGTACTCTAAAAACAGATAACTAGAAAATCAGAACAACATATATTGTATAGAAACAAACATTATTACACACTTTTCTTGCAATTGTGGTTGCCAAGATAACAACTTGCTCTAATACTGTATCTGAAAATGAATTCATAGAATTAAGTGCAATCTATAAGGATGCAGTCATTTATTAATGGATGTTTAACATAAGAAATTGAAACTGCCATTCGTCTTCAATAATTGATTGATGAAACCTGTGTCATGTCAGGCATATATGAGCTGATTGTAATATGCCTTAATATTGTAGGAAATAACTACCTTACACCGAAAGGTCCACTGATTAATGATGATGACATAATTAATGTCGAAATATTGAATCCCAACATGATGGCGTGTATTTAAATACTTGGAGTATGTATTATACTTTCTTAACTACCTTACAGTATTAGAAATAATTCTATTATTATTTTATTATTATCGTCATTGTTATTATAAATTTTGTTATTACTATCATTAATAATTGTGATAGATGTTAGTGACAGTAATTATAATAATGATTACAATGATATAATTGTTATAGATATTTATCATTTATTATTATCATTATTACCATCATTAATTTATGTTGTTATTGTTTTTGTCATTATCATCATCTTTTGTCACTGCAGGTCTCTCTCCAATTAAAGATCCCTCCAATTAGAGGCCACCTCCAATTAATGACCACTTTTCTGTGGACCCATGTTAACAAAATGTCTTTTATCTTATATGGTAGTTAGAGTCTCAAGCTATTAAAGACAATGGAAACCTTTGTCCCAAAAGTGGTCTTTAATTGGAGGGAGACCTGTGTTTTTATTAGGTAGTATTGCTGTTTATTTTAATTAATTTCTCTTCATCTTAAATTGTCAGGGAGTTGGGACAGATGAAGCTGTACTTATTGAAATTTTATGCAGCAGAAACAACCAACAGATCAAAGAAATCAGGGCAGCATATAAAAAAGGTAAATCTTATAACACACAAGAAAATTTAACGTTTTATAACACATACAATTTTACGGCCATCCTGAGGCAAAACAACATAACTGACATTTTTGTCGATTTTGAGATAATATCATTTGGTAGTATATTAAGCACATCTGAATTACCTGTGAAAATGTCAGGTCTCAAGAATGAGTCATTTTGGAGATAGCACCACCTATCTTTAAGTACAAAACTTAAAATCTAGTGATTTTCCATGGAAAACAACATAACTACAAGATTACGGGGCAAAACAACGTACAGTATCTACGATTAAGATACGTTGTTTTTGTTCTCCCCATTTTACCATGGACAATTAATATTGCGATGATGATGATGATGTGATGATGATAACAAGGAGGAGGAATCGTAGCAGGTGACAACAGGCTCCTGTGCAAGGTTAATTAACAGGCCCTTTGGTATGATTGTCAACCGAGGCTCGTATCCCGAGTTCGTCGTCACATTTTCAATGCACACAATCAAACAATAAAATTGATATAGGCCAAATCAGTACATTCTCGACTGTCATGAAAATAGCATATATCTAAAAAATTACGTTATACTGTATGCATGCTGTGAGAACTTTAACCTAATAACTTTGATATGTACATGTTTATGTTGTTTGTTGAATGGACTTCTTTAATAATAATATTACAGTCTAATATGACCACAACATAAGGAAGTTCACTCGGTAAAATACTTAGCATAATATAGTACAAAGAATTTTGATTGTTGATCAATATCATTATACACATGTTAGATCCAAATTTCAAGACATTACATTTTATGCACGCACCGACGAGGAAAGTTTAAACATAATAATTTTGATATGTACGTGTTTTATGTTATGTGTTGATTGGTCTTAGTTAATAATATTACAGTTTAAAATTCATATTATAACAACTTGGTCATAATATAACTTATGCTTAAAGGAAGCAGATTAATGCAATTCTTTCCACAACCGTACTCTGACCAAAACCAAAACAATAATGCTGTGAGTAACAAGCTTTCTCTTGAAAAAACCTGCCTGTTTGACTTCAAAGTGTTTTTATTGTTTTTCTTCATCATAGCCCTGATGTTAGTTTAAAACATATTTTTATAAAAAGAAAATATTTTTTAACTATTCATTAGATTACTACCACAGAACATCATTAGAATTGGTGTATACAATAGAAAAATAGCAAATTCAGGGGCTTTGGGCCCCTGAACCCCAACCGGGGACCATTGGCGGCCCTCTGGCCCCCAGCCTCAGTGCTCGCTTCGCTCGCAAACCTGACCACTTCAATTCCTGTGGCTACGGCCCTGCTATTGGTGTTTTCATATCAATAATATTAACAGGAATGTATGAACAACCTGTATAATGAATAAGATTGCCCCAAACGTGGTAAATTCCAAAATATGTCGCACTTGCAACAATACCGATCCTGACGTGTTTCCGAGGCAAAACATTGTATCTGTGAATATCGCTAATAACTTTGCAATTAATAAACGGTTGTAATTAAAATTTTACATACAATCACAATGTCTATACTGTATATATACAATCCTGCAAAATTTCAAAAGGGTACCACAATTTATTAGCAAGTTGCAAACATGCAAACTTTAACTCTATTTTTCTCCAAAAGTGAAAATTTCAAGTTACGTTGTTTTGCCACAGAACGGCCAATTAGCTCTTTGTGATGTCATTTTATCAAGCAAAATAAATGAGGAAAGTGCCTCAGTCACGTTCCCAGAACAAAATCGGCGGCCTCTGTTTTCAGCCCTAATTTCCTTCTGTCGCTGTGCTTTGCAAAACAACAATCTTCCTGTCTTTGGGCCTAGGATCTAATTGATTTTCCACAAAGCTCCCCCCCCCCCTTTTGGATATTGTTGCTAAGATCCCTCAAATAGGGATAACATGTGGGTGTGTGAGTGACAAGTATGTATTTCTTACCTTTTGATTGGTCAGTTGTTAAGTTTAACTTCCAATATACCAGCACTATTACGAGTACTTTGTCAATAAACTGATATTTTTGTTTTGAAGAATTCAAAAGAGATCTTGAAAAGGATATTGTCTCTGAGACGTCTGGACACTTCAAGAGGTTGTTAGTCTCCATGGTTCAGGGAGGACGATCAGAATCAGCAGCTACGGATACATTAAAGGCTAAGGAAGATGCCAAGGTATAGTGTTTTGGTATAATTTGGTCACACTTTGTAGGTTTAGTGTGAAGATTTGTTAATAAAATTTGTTTTTCGACAGGCATTGTATGAAGCTGGTGAGAAACGGTGGGGCACGGATGAATCCCGGTTCAACGCCATATTTGCCTCTCGCAGTGTGCCTCAGCTGCGATTGGTTTTTGATGAGTATGCTAAGCTTAGCAAATATAGTATGGAAGACACGATAAAACGCGAGATGTCTGGTGACCTAGAGAGAGGAATGCTTACTATTGGTGAGAAGTCCTTTTCTATTAAATGTGACATCACATCATGACCATATATAGACTCATCATGACTATATATGTGCATACAACAGTTTTTTATCAAAGAAAATTTGATAGTGTACACAGAGCTAAGACCTTTTATTGATGAGATTGGGAGAGATACACAACAGCAGATTGTAGGTCCACCAAACCTAATGTAGGGGAGAAGACTACTAATGATGCTTTGAATGATGATTATAATGATGCCTTGCTTTATTATGTTTTTCTAATTTTTTTTTTACAAATTTTCCTGTCTGGCTTCAACTGAAGCTCTGTCCACCTTTTATTTGACAAAAATAATGTGACGAGCCTTAATATAGTAATGATGACATCACATCATGACCATATATGGGCACAACATGACTATATTTGCTCATATAACATTTTTTCTATCAATGAAAATTTTGATAGTATAGACCAAGCATTATAAATATGATCTGTACGTATGGCATAATGTGTTACAAAGACCACATTTTTCTTGTATTTTTTTTACATTTGTGTGATTAACATCTTGTGTTCATCTTTACAGTTAGCTGTGTACGAAATACACCTAAATACTTTGCTGAGAAGCTGTACAAATCAATGAAAGTAAGTAAATGTATTTTGTTGTAATTTTTATAATATTTTTAGTAGGATTTTAGAAACAGTAGAATAGGAGAAGTACTTTTGACTGAATAGTCAATTCTATGATGTGGTGTTCCTTTAAAAATAGAAACCTACACTTACAAATATGTGTATGTAAAACTGTCTTAAGCTAAAAATAATATAAAATAATATAAAAATAAATTAAAGTGATTGAATATTTGAGAGATTTCAATATTTTACTTTGGTCAGTATTTCATATCATATCTTCAAGTTACAAATTTAATATCTGGTGGTTCTTTATTGAATAAACTACAATAATCGAATAAACAACAAAATATATGAGGCTTGTCATCTCAAAACCAGTATACTGTCACTAAATTTTTAACTGAGTAATTAGCAAGAATGTGTCAGTATTGTATGCTTTAGTGCAGAGAGGCCATAATACTTTTATATAACTTTGGTAAATAAGTCGATTCCATTAAATGACTTCTTAAAGCATATATTGTTGCGAATATGAATAAATTAAAAAAATTCAATTTCTTGTTTTTGTCATTGATGCTGGTTTTGGCACGGCAAGCCCCCATATGTAGTACTTTCTTAAATTAGTTAGAAGAATTCAATGATTCTAGTTCAATAGTTTTGTTTACATATTTATGTTTGATCTACAGGGTCTTGGAACAGATGATGAGACGTTGATGAGGGTGATGATATCTCGCTGTGAGATTGACATGGTTCAAATTAAGGAAGAGTTCAAGAGGAATTACAAACAGACTCTCGGACGCTTCATTTCTGTAAGTAGATACCCCTCCCTTGGATTTCATATGGTTTTCGTTAATAAACGTTTCAAGTTACATACAGTGTGCCCAATTTGAGACCCCTCTAATTCGAAGGGCTTTCTAATTCAAGATCACTTTTTTCAAAGAACTAAATATTAATTTTTAATCTTTTAACAAATAACCCTCGAATTGGAGTCTAAACCCCAAGACCACCCCCAATTTTCAGGTCGCAAAGGTGGTCCCGAATTGAAAGGCAAACTATAGTGCGTAAAACTATGCCCTTTGATGTGCTCAGACTAACTCATTGCTACAGCTTATTACTTCTGAAAAGGTCCTATCTTGTTATTTGTTATTTATATAGCGCCTATTCCTTCAGGTTACAAAGCGCTTTGTTTTCACTCACCATTGGGTCCACATTCTTAAGTGTTGCTGCCATATTGGCACAGTAGCAGGCAACCCCACCAGGTACCCTTTATACTCCTGGGTGGAAGAGTAGCAATGCAGATAATGTGCCTTGCTCAAGGACACAAGTGAAATGCACAGCGAGGGATTGCAACCCCAACCTTGAGGTTGGTAAACCAAACCAATCCCATTGCGTCAAACCGTTTTCTGTCAGGGGCTGCCAATTAGAGCAAGGATGTAGTCCACAGCAGGGGCTCACTGGTGTAACCCCCTCATTTTAAAGTGCACATGATTTAGCTAGTGTACAGTGGGCATATGGTTTGTAGTCCTTATTTGAGAATGGCCCTTGACCAGGATATTCAAGTACTTTAAAGTTCTCATGATTTGGCTATTGGAATACTTGGTTCTACCACCCAGACCATGAGCGAAGAGAATCTTGAACCACCACTGATTTAAGTCTATCGCTTATGGTTCTCCTACTTTAAGTGTTTGGCCGACTCACTTATGGGTGTTATGGTGAAGACTATCCTGTTATTTGGTTTTTGAACAATTGAAACACCAATCAAAACTACTACTTCGAAAACATGAAAAATTTTGTTTAAAAAAATGAAATTGTACATCATACCCAAGTGAAGCTGGCCTAAGTCCTAAAATACACTTGGCAAAGATTAGCATTAGTAAATGCTATCCAACGACAATTCTGAAACTGAGTTGTGACACGATTTGGGTCGGCAATATTTTCCAAATGTTCTCCAAATAAAGAAAAGTATATGACATATATGCTGCTCTGAGAGTGACATTTCTGGCTATCTAGAGGTACTTTATAACTCTCTACATTTGTATGTCGTGCTCTAGGCTCTCCCTACTTTCAATTTCTGAATCTGCCACTAATAATGATTGCTATAAAAATGCAATAACACAACTTTTAAAAATTACTACATATATTGGACAAGTAATTCTTCTAATAACCAGGGCCTAACTAGTGATTATTATTATCCCAGCCAAATTATTATAATATTTAAATGTTTCTCTATTTCCGTCTTTGCTTTTGCAGGGAGATACGTCAGGAGACTACAAGCGAATATTAATAGCATTAGCTGGTGGTGAGAATTAAGAATGCTGATTTTGTCAATGAAATTTTTTTTGTGTAAATTTTTTACAATTTAGTGTTCCGTAGAATATATTATACTGTGATATTAGAATTATCAGCCCACATTAATGTAGTTACAGAAACCTAGGGATTCAGCTTTGGAAGACTAATGCATTAAGAGTAGACGTTGCCCCTTAGATTTATGCAAATTTGTGATAAAAGTGAAATATATACCAAGATGAATTATGGTACTTCCAAATTGGTTTTTATAATTATATATTATCATATTAATAGATGTTATGTCTGCAATTGAATGATCAAAAATAACATGTTGCCTTGAGTGTTATGTTTCTATGTACAGCATTTCCAGAGTACGGTTACAGTACATCATAAAGCATTAATAATACGATAATGGTATTATCTATATTTTTTAAGGTTGTCAGAGATAAGATATTAATATATTTATAGAAATCATGGGATACAACCATGAAAGACTTAAAGTGTAGATGTCACCCCTTCAGCCTGGGTAATATGGCAAATTTGTCCTACTACAGCAATCGCTACACTGCGTAGCACTCCCCAGTACAATCGGGAAGGCTTTCTGCAGTGGCGTATCTAGTTGGGGGTGGGGTGGGGGGGGTGGTGCATGTCCCCAAACAAAATCATGCTCAAGTATTAAAAAATTACCTGAAATGTTGTGAGCTAGACCTCCTCACCTAATTATCGCTCCCCTCACCTAAACAATGCTCCCCCCTCACCTAATCATCAGGCCCCCACTTCATCTTTGCACCCCCATCAGGGGGCCCCCAATTTCAAGACTCCTTATTGACATAAAGAGACGCCTAAAAGGATTGTGCTGCGGTGTACTTCATCCAGGTTTGCGAAGGTGCCTGGGCGGTAAATCGTAACAAACATTTTGGGCTTACTCAATATAGTACACGATACAGTAGGTTCATGATGTTACTTACCAAAAGTGCATTGGATGATAAATGTGGACCTATGTAAATGGTTACCTGAATACATGCAAATGATATGAACATTTGAGTAGTTTCATCTGGCTTGCTTATTATAGCTATAAGCAAGTACCATCCATTGTGGTTGCTTTAATACCAATTTAAAAAGTTCTGCAGATATGAACATTTTTAATACTGAAAATGTAAAACCATGTTTCTCCTAAGATGTGATTTCAAGACTTTGCATGTATTGAGTACTTCATCAGTGCTTCCTTAACTTTTTTTACTCAGGGACACACTTTGGCAATCAGAAATTACACCACTGACCCTCCTTGTCAAAATATTTCCTTCCCACAGGTTTTTTTGAGTCCAGATATCAAAAGAATTGTTTGTCCAGTATATTTGCTTATTTGTTGAAGCACTGTGTAACAGCATTTCTATACAGTAAGTAATTATTATGTGGTGGATTTAGGAATTGAAATTACAGGAAGCCCAGAGAGGGATATGCAGATCCCATCAACTTCCCCATGGTTATGGCAGAGGTTTTTAACATTTTCATAGATATGGCACCACTAGATGTCTATATCAACAAATGATGTACTATTATCATTTAAATTTTGTTATATAGTTTTTCTTTAAACTCAGGTGCTGAAATGTTTGTGAATTAAAAAATTTTTTTAATGAAATTTTGTACATCATGAACTTCATGCTCAATTACATGCTCATTTACATCCTATATTGTCAGGCATCTGTTTTTGTTTTTTTTTTTAATTTTTAGTTTTTAATTTTTCATTCAGCTAGATCTAGACAAAATTTAAAACAGTTAAAAAATTAAATTATATTTGTAACAGGTAAATATATACAGTATATGTTAATTGGACTTCCTCAAATATTATATACAAAGTTTTTATATATAAACAAACATCTGTTGTCCATAGAAGTAAATTTATCTGGTTTCTTGGTAAATATTATACTGTATTTCTGTTTAATGTAAGAAATGGTTATATCTAGTGTAGTTAATATATAACATTTGTTTATAAATTCTAGATTAAAATACATTTACATTTTAATGTTATTCATTTTTTTACATATACTCTAGCTTGTATGTTGTGAAAATAAACTACTGTTTGCTGGTAAAGCAAGTAATCGTTAATGTTATATGTACTGTACAGTAGGCATCATGTATGTGTATGGTTTAGCATCATAATCTCGTTTTTTTTTATACCGTTTTTCACCAAAACAAGTCCCTGCACAGTTTTCCATACTACAATGGATGTTTTACTAATGCTCCCCGCTTGAAAATGTTCCTAAGGTACCAAAAAACGACAGCGGGAATATCAACTTGTGTGGTTGTGGGATGTACGCGTAATGCCGACCATCGTTGTGGTTGGTCAGTTAACTTTGAGTATTTTTCATCAAAATTTGGTGAAGTGGTATGGTGGGTGTTCGGTTTATGATTGCCTTTAGAACACTTTGTAATTTCTTCGTCCATGATTGTGAAAATGCATCTGCTTCTCTGTTCAACAAAACCAACACACTTAAAGAAAGAAATAAAACATAAGTATATAAATATCCATAATCTAGCATTTAATACAAAGTAGTTTAACTTCCAACAACAGAAAATCAAGTTTTTTTTTGTTCCAAATATCACAAAGTTAAAAAAAAGTAACTTTATGTAATCAAAGTTGCATGGTTTTTCGGAGCGAAAACGTTTATAAATTAAATACATTTCATTTGTATTCATTAGAAACAGTTATATAATAATGCTGTTGAGCATAGTCCTGTTCAAAAGTCCTGAGTGTGTTCAGTCCGGTCAAAGCTGCAGTAGTAGAGAGTTTGGTGGGCTGGCTTAGTCGTCTCCATAAATAACACGCAATTCTTCACAACTGCGACAGCAGAATCCCATGAATCCACGTAGGTTGCAGTATTTCTCATACATATTAATGGTGCAAATAGGGTTGTTGACAACCTGACAACCTAAATAAAATAATAATGACAATTTTTAATTTTTTTTATTTGAGTATCAAGACTATGTACTGTAGGCCTACTTTACGTTTCACCAGTCTTTGTATCAACTGGGAGGCGCTAACTATAACATTTTCTGGCGACACACACTCCGTTCCCTGGAGAATCCATAATGTACAACAGCTAGTAATCTGTAGGTCTGTGTTGGCATTCGAATCTACCAGTTTAACCATAAAGAAAATAGGATTAACGTACTGCCAGTCATATTAGGCAGCTTTGAAATCATAACGTATGACGTAAGGGGTTGTATGCAAATGGGCTAACTTTATTACGATTTCATTGGCACACTTACAGCTAAGTGGATAAAATCTGAAGTCTATTTAAACTTTGTGACGTAAATTACATTTGTAATTTTAATTAGGCTTAGATTCCTTTACGACGCCTCTATCCCTGTTTTCAAAATGTTCGATTTTCCTCATGTGATATCAGTACATAGTATGCTTTACCTTTTATGCACGAATCGAGGATACACCGCCTCGTTTCGGCAGGTTTTTCTGTTTTACACTGTTTCTCAGGTTCGTCTGGCGGTTCAATACACTTTACAGATCGATGTTGAACTCCAAGACCGCATGTTCCATCACACTAAATAAAAAGAAAGACACTCAATGCCAGCTTATGATGATCAATCAGATTCATTGAAAAAAAAACCAATTGTAATTTGTTTTTAAAATCCAAGTAATTTGAAGTCTGGCACACTTTACTGAAGATCGTCGGCCAACATGATTCCCTAGAGAACGCAGCGCGCGACAACATGCGTGACGAATTATTTTCAATGACGATCCACTCACAGGTGAACACTGACAATAAGCAAAACGGCGTAGCGTCGTCAAATACTCACACAGAGCGGAGACTGCATTGGTCGGCGACCGCCGTGGCACTGGTGGGCGACCGCCGTGCATCGGACTTTTATACTCTTTGTGGTAGAAAGTTCTGAGGTACAATAGCCTCACGAATAGTAAAATTTAAGTGAAATTAGTTTACCTCTCCCCATGGTTCTGCATACCAGTATGGCAGACACGGCCTTCTATTACAAGCCTGGGTAGTGGCAGGCGGTGCATTTTGGCAGTGGTCATCGGGCACTGTTACTCTTCTGCCGTTTTCTTGTACCAGGGTACATCTTGCCGATCGTCTGCTTCTTCCGCTGAGTCCACATTGTGAGGAACATTCACGCCAGTCTGACACGGTCCAATCATACCTAACCATTGAGTTAAGAAAAGTTATAAATTTTCTAGTTGGGATGCTCGCTTATGGTTATAATAGACATTCTTGCATGTTTCCTCAAATTGCAGTTAATAAACTCAGAGAAATAAATGGAAGCAAATTAGTATACAGTAATCATTCGATAAATATATCAACGTAATGAATATTTGTAATAGGTAATTTGTTGATGCTTACCGATTGATAATATCTATACTCAGTGAGACAAAATAACGCATACATTTAAACTTCTTCTTGTTTACAAGTATCTTGGCCAAACAATAACAAGACTGACTTTGTCTTGTTAATTCTTCAGAACATGTGGTCGTCAATGTATGCATTACTCTGTCCACTGAGTATAGGGGGTTTCGGTTTCCCTGTAACATTATGTCCGATGTCTTGTCACGTCTGGGAATTACCTACAAACTCAAAACACAGATCGTTATTTCATACACCTTAACGGAAATCGCATTGCGTTTTTATGAAAACCCTTAATGCATAAATATAAATGTAGGCCACGGTGTATTTTTATTCCGTCAAAAATTAACTTTGATATTTTATCATCTTCATCTTATTTATTTATTATGAATTCGACAAACAGATACCCAAGAGGAAACCATGGGCCGATGGCCTAACACAACTTAAACTTATTTAGACTTAAAATATATTCAATATAAAAAATGTGAAAGATGTACACAATGGTTAAAATGTATAAACATTAAAAATCACTTTAAAAAAGTCGTTTTGATTAATTAAATATTATATAATAAACAATAATCACTAACATTATCATTCACCCTTATCAATATGGGCATCGTCGTCGCCGCCGATGCCGTCGTCATACTAATAATCATCATCATCGTCGTCCTTTCATACTTACTGTCATAATACAGTAATCATATTCATACTTCCTGTCATCATCATAATCCTTATCTTCATCACCGTCATCATCATCAACACTAACCACCATCTTCATTGACATCACTATCGTTCAGGCCGATTCTGTCCCTATTTCCATGCTCCATGACTGTTGTATATTAAAATAATTTTGGCCACACAGGCAGAATGTGACTACCGTAGTATGTACGCACTTGTGCACTCTTCCAGTTCGCACCTTTGGATGTCATTAGGAACTTTGTCGTAGCAGGCAAATTCAGACTGCTCTCCTTCAGGTATGTCGCATTCGACAGTTCGATATCTTGTTCCGTTACCACAACTTGAGGAACACTTGAAACATAAAAGAAATAAATAATTAGGGAATCATCATAATGTTATATTATGTGTGAGCCCTCAAGTTGTGTGAGCCCCCAAGTTGTAGGAAGTGATAGAGATTGATAGGGGTCTGATGGGGTGGGGTGGGGGCTGATTATAAACTACTTTACCTTGATTTTTGTGGGGAGGGGGCGACTCTGGAAGGGGAGAGTAATTTTTGGAGGGTGATTTCCAACGAAGCGTCAATGGGCCATTTGGTTAAGGCGTCACCATAAACAACAGAAGGTCTCGGGTTCGAATCCCGATTGATGTAGCTTTTTTTCACACTTTGAGATTCCACTTCTTTAACGTTCAAAATTGTTATATCATTACAGCATTACCGCTGGGTTTAGGGTTAAGTGCGTTAAATTTAACTTTTTAAAAGATAATTAAGAAAAAGGAAAAAATACTTACATTGGAACGGGACATTCATGTGCGTTGCACTCTGAACGCAGAGTCTTCGGGTTATAGTCACCCTTTCCACAGAATGTCCTTTTCACTGTTTTTTCATCACTACCACGAATGCATTTATATTCAAAATATGTCCAACCTTTAGTAAAACAGAACAAACTTGAGAAGCACAGACGCATAACATTAAACAAGATATAACATTATTATGTATTACATGAATGCTAAGAATACTAACGATAATAGCATTTATAGGACGGTATATCAATGCAAAAGTATAACAGTAAAAGTAATCATCGTCGTCATCATCATCGTCATCATCATCATTATAATGAAATTAACAATAAAGATGCACTAATAATAATCATGGTAATATTTAAAGTTTAAAGGTCATGATGATGATAATAGCCATTTAGTGATATCAGCTAACCTCCATCACATGATTTCGAGCATTCTGTCCATCCAATTGGAGTCCACGTGTAAGTGTCCGGTGGTTCTGTAGTAGGAGCGGCCGTCGTCCTTATCTCAACGAATTGATTTTTATGAATAATATATCGATACGTAACGTCTGACTTGGTTTCCGAGTTATTGTAAATAGGATTAGCCTAGGATTTAAAATTCTAAGTAATTATTATGTGATATATAAATATAAACATTTTCATCAAGTATTTAATGATTATAGTAGTGCCTTTGACAATAGACATTTTGTCCCTACTGGCATATTATAAGTACAGAGAATATATACATTGTACATTGCAAGGATACCGTAATCGAAATGCTCGAGTGCTAAAAATATATACTGTAGGCCTATATAATTACGTTTTTGAATACGACAGGTCTGTTCCGGTGTTAAACCGGAATTATATTGAGGAGGAATTTCTTTTGGTATATGATATTGTATTTGGCGGGAGAGCTTTTGCTGTCGCAGCTCCAACTTTGCGGAACTCCATTCTCCATCAGACAGTGTGTTACTTTAAACCCTTTTAAAACCAAGCTAAAGACCTTTCTTTTCCATTATTATTATTTGGATGGATGGACGGATTTCGGTATAAACACCAAGGGTAACCCACGAAAGTCTGAAGAAGACTTATTTCTAGTGGGATCCTTCTGGTGGCGATTGGGCAATATACCAGGGACAATTCCCTCTTTTCCAAAAGAGTGTCGCTGCGTTCTTTTACGTGCACATGGGTCATAATTGAAACGGGGACGACCAAGATTTCCCTGCGGTTCATTCAGCGCACACACAGTAGATCCACCAGTTTAGCTGACTGAGCTAAGTTTCTCTAAAGGGTGTGAAGGGTGTGATTTGTCTGTATTTAATCTGCAACATACACACAGGTCTTTGTGGACAAGTGGTACGGCACTCGCCTTGAAAGCGAGAGGTTGCAGGTTTGGTTTCTTTCAGATGCACATCTTTTTATACAATAATATATGCACTATATTATATGTATTAGACAATACGCACGTAGAGCGTGATAGGATAACTTAATGGTCCTCTAGTCAGTATGCGTTGAGATTTCGGCAAGTTGCTGACGACAAAGCGTGAATGGGCTTCTATTATTTGAGTGCTTCGTTGGTATAAGTCCTTGGTGTTAAACAACATCTGTCCCGTTTCGGCGTTTTGAAATGCTGCAATAGATATACAGTATAGGATTTCAAGTATCAAACATGATGTTGTGCGCATGCTTGGTGACACTATTTCAATACATCTTAAATCGATTATTGGTGGTTTGGCTTACCTAGATGATAATATGAAGACTTGGGACGAATTATTTCAATGTGCCTTGAATTTCGTGGAAACGTGTAAATTTTCTGTAAAGCTGAAATAAAAGAATTATAATTATAATTATAATTATAATTATAATTCTGAAAACCAGGGCTAGATAGGCAAAACCACTATACTAGGTTAAATTGCGTATTTCCCACCACGATGAAGTTATTCGGTATACAGTATACATTGCAAGTTCCGAAATTAAAATTTTTAGTCTATTTAGGCTTATAAACTAAATAATGAAACATTAAAATAGTATCTGAAAACACAAAGAATAATCAAAACAATAAAACAAATCACAAATTGATTACAAGACAATGTAAATGTGTCAGGAAAAGTACATTGTATTGTATTTGATGCGTCTGTTAACATCCTCCTTTCAATTGAAAGTTAGCTTATGTCAAATATGTTTATTGAATTTTATATTTGAAGTTTATTACCTTACATGGAGTGAATATCTATACGGTATAAGACTTCTCTAATACTCTAGGCCTATATTAAATTTTAAAAAAAGATGTTTAAAAAGAGAAATATGATCCTTGGTCAGTTTAATATAAAAGTTGTGTAACATAGTTTACTTTTCGTTAATATTTGTTTGTATCTATTCTCGGGATAAATACAAGCAGAGTTGTCACCCCCACAGACACCACACGAGTCTTCCCTCTGGGTAGAGCCTAGCACAAAATCGCAGCCCAGTTTCTGAAACCAAGAGTAACATATACGATTCAAAAGAAACTTAGAAAACATCAACTAAAACACTATGAATGGCATCACAAAAATTCGAATTATATAGCGCAAAATGCCACAGCTTCGATGCGCTTAACATTAAATATTTTTTAAAATAATAATTCTCACTGCAAACTTATTAAACTAAACCCAAATAAAGATGCACACCAACACTCAACTGATGTCAGAAGTAGAATTAATAGTATTTCTCATAATAGGCTATAATTACATTTATATGTCGGGTATGTCTACTACTTTTGCGTAATGATCACTGGGGCATTTCCCCGGCCTTCCGGAAGGTGCCCAGTGGGCGACCTAAAATTCAGTTAACATTTTTTGTCCTTTCTATGTATCCTGTGTTTTTATGTTTGTAAATTAATATTAATATGTAACATTTTGTGAATAAATGTGACATTTCATTACGAATAATAGTGGACTTTATTAGGTGGCCAGTGATAACATGCTAATACAAAGAGACGTACCCTGCATCTTCCCCCCATACAGAGGTCATCCTGGCTGTCATAGGAGCAAGGGGTACCATCTACCACAGTGAAATCAAAAGTCTTGCGAGCCCCACTTAGGCGATTTTCGCACGAGAGTGAACATCTTTCGTCTCCTGCGTTACAGAGAAATGTAGGCCTATCATTATTAATTTGGTCGTATTTATATGCAATAGGCCTGCAGCGATATATCACGCTCATATCATCGAGGACGTCGCATTCGACCCGTTGCTGTTGTATAGTTATTACCATCACAATGGTCATAATCATGCCATCATTATCAACTTCAACATGGCTTTCCCATCGTCATCCATGCCATAATCAGCTCTCATTCATCCGGGCTGTGTTTGGTACTACACCATCATATTTACCATTCCTCTTATCATATCCTCTTATCTTCACAATAATACAGTGGTTTTTCATGGGAGGGAGACATGTATCATCACCATCATCGTCGTCATCGTCATCATCACCATCATCATTATCCACACAACGATCAATATCGTCATCAGCATCATAATCATCATCAGTATCATCATCAGTCATCATCGTCTACATCATCATCATCATCATCACACTCATTATCATCATCATCATCATCATCATCATCATCATCATCATCATCATCAGCAGCAGCAGCAGCAGCAGCAGCAGCAACCTCAACATTCTTCCATCTCTCCATCATTACTTACCTGATGTTCCGCTTTCATATGGTTTCCATACTCCCGTTGACCCTGTGTTGACATTCTCGTACTCTCCCATTCCCTCGCAATACAATTCTCGAATGTCTTCCCTCGTGTGTTGACATTCCTTTTAAAAGAAAAAAAAAAACACGTTTAAAATCTGATGGTCTGGCTCATTATATTGTATAGGTCTATGGAAGTGTACATCTAAACTCCTGATAAACGTTGCCACCCAAAAACGGCCCAACAATAGCTCCAGAAATTTGCCAACAAGGGGTCCGACATGTCCGACGGGAGGTCCGAACCAAGGGGAGAGCTTCGGTCCTTGTCCCGGATTAAATACAATTCATGAAAGAGTTAACGGGGGCGTTTTTAGAGCGTTGTAGGGTTCAAAGTGTGCTTTTTGGTCACAACAATTGGTATTGGGAATCAAAATAACGATATTTGGATAGGATAATATTTGTTTTAAATTTTTGATCCGACGACATCGTCGTGGCGTCGGACGACGGGAGGTACAGGGCTGTTCGATGAGGGAAAATTCCACTGAAAGGCCCAGTCTCAGAAAGCCACAGGGCCGCGACCCCATCGTTACGCCACTGGCTATAATCAATGGTAAAAATCGTGTTAAATTTTACACTCAAGTCTCCTGCTGTAATGCAGACGCTATGCCAATTGGGCCACTACTCTAGTCTATATCTTATTACCATTAATTTTTATCTTATACTAATTCACAAATCGCATAAATAAGGTCAAGGATGATTGTCCCCAGAATAAGTTAAATTATTAGTAGTGACACATTATGTACTACAGACATATTATTAGAATGAACGATTACGTCATCGATTACGAATCATCATTAAGGTTTCCATAAAATCGCTACATCACCGTTACACTGTAGAGTGTTTTCATCGCAATATTTGCACTGCGTAGCTGTCCTCGAAGTAATCGAGAAAGCTCCCCTGATACGAGACCGACAAATTAGGGTTACCGAAAGTTGTAGTGATTTTATGGATAACAAGTCTAAAGCAACTATACTTTATGATATAAATAAATCATTCATTATTTGAGATACCTACAGCCTCATTACACACTCTATATTCCATGTAATCACCAGCACAGTCATCACCTCCATAAAGTGGTCTGTAAAGATTAAAAAATAGACCCCAGTGCAATAATGAAAACAAAAACTGGATCAGGCCCTAAATATAAAATATTTATCGAATTATCCAGCGTTTCTTGATGTTTGTATCATCAAAATACCATAATTAATTTTAAATGATTTCTCTTGGATTTTAAAATAGGCGCACTAACGTTGTAGAAAGTCGGACAATTCTATATGCACATCACATTGCACTATGGTGCCATTTTAACCATTCTCTCTGGTAAGCGCTGCACCTCTCTTCAAAGTGATGGACCCTATGATTCTGAAAATATGCCGCAGTGACTCGGCGCTTTATTTTTTGGACAATTTACGGTAGGACCTGTGTTTCAATTATCTGATCATAGTTTGAATGTCTGCAGTTGTTCCACCATCGAAACGATACTCCTAAGGTCGCTGGCTCGATTCCTGCAGTAGGCTATATTTTTCCACACTATTGCCATGACCATTTCTGGGGTTTTTACACTTGAAGTGGTTTGCTAAACGGTAACAGATTCCCTTATAGGCACAGAACGCTGAGTGTGCGCTCTTATACACTATGGCTTCCACTCAAATGAATAATGGGTAAGTGTATATTTACGCTGGGTCGTTACATTCCCTCACTCGTATACTGACTCCTCCTCCACAGCCATACGAACACCCACTCCATTCGGTCCAGCTACTCCAGCCACCATGCTGTTTGTTGGTTCGCGTGCACCTGCCTTGCATACACCACTGAAATCGAACGAAACATTTTTAACAAGTTAATTAATTGGAAAACAAGTTTTTGGCCCTTAATGCCTATTGTATACCACTTATCATCATCCACCACCCCATTATCATCATCATCATCATCATCATCATCTTCATCATCACCACCACTGTCATTATTATTATTATTATTATTATTATTATTATTATTATTATTATTATTATTATTATTATTATTATTATTATCATCATCATCATCATCATCATCATCATCAAAACTGTATACGTGTTATAAAGAATGAAAGCTTACCCCTTGATCGCCACACGGTGTGCCGTCGAGGGCTGGGGACATTGCATAATCGTGGGCGCACACGGATCCATTTTGCGGATGATGACACAATAGGGTCTGGCACGGGTCGTACTGAAATGTTAAGCTTCCAATGTTATTCGAAGAATAGTAGAAGTCGAGTCGATGGAGCAAATTGAACATTAATGTTAAAAGAACGTATTATACCTACAACAATGTATTAATTGTTCATTGAAAATAACAGCAAAATGAAAGCAGTCTAAATGTAAGCAACGGCTATTAATTCAGGTGTGAATTTAATGATCTATTGACACTATAGTGGAAAATATCTCAGGAAAAATAGCTGGTGATGAAAAGTAGATCTACTCATGAGGTTACATTATAGATTGATATTACGAACATCGAGTATCTTTCGTATTAAGAGTTTGGTCGTGAGTGAAGAGTGACAATATGTTGTTAATGAATCCCTTTCTATGTAGGCCTACAAGAGGAAGATGGTTTCCTATATCCGAATAGAATTGCAATAGGTTGTAATAATAAATCAGTTTGTACATAATGTAGGACGGATAATGTAGGACGGATAATGTAGGACGAATAATGGCTCAGATTCTGATCGAATGTTCATGAGGTTGGATCCGATGATCACAAAGATTATAGAAGTAGTAACAAATGAATATTATTCGGATATCCTACTAACCCCATAGTAAGATACTGCCCATGGGCAAACCTCATGCCCATCTCCCATCACGTATCGACATTGGTCACTCAACGTATAAAGTTTCCCAGGGTGCACTGAAGGCTCCCGGAAGCCAGCATCAAATGGCGAGTCGAGAAGGCAAGTGAATACACTGAAAGCAAATAAAAAACACACTTAAAAATTATTTTTACCATGCACCGATGCCAACATATTTCCAACTAATTTTCCGACAATATAGTATGGTCCATATATAATTGGGAGTTCTCGCAAGCTTACGAAAACGATAACGAATACGATTACGTCATCAGATTTTTAAACAAACTTTTCCTACAGGGCACATCTGTCACAACATATGCAATACATGCCTTTTGCATGAATCAAGAATCATATTCAGCTCATACAGCTATTTAGTCAAAAATGTTTGCTCACGAATGACGAGAATGGTAATAACGAATTCGTGTTCGTGTTTGCCTGTCACTTTCTTCTGTATTTTCCTTTTTGTGTTTCATTGTTGTAATCTGTATTACTTGATCTTTGTGAGGCTGTACTTTAGTGATGCATGGGGTTCCTGAATGATGACCGAGTTTTCCTAAATAATTGAGGCATGGCTTGCGCTTCATAACCGCAATGGAAAGGTGCAATATAAATACCCATTACCAGTACAAGTACAGTATTTGATATACATTTGTACTGTAATCATTCATTTATTTATTCATATGTGTTTATTCGTTCGTCCGATCGTTCATGTATGCGTTTGTTTTTCGTTCATTCATTCGTTGAAGTTCTTAATTAGTTCAGGGCCTACTATATTAAGTGTCATGTGGATGTAGGCCTAATAATAACTTGGCTATAAAGCGCTTAACCAGCTTAATTCAATTCAATTCAACTGAGCACCGGTACAATTCAAATGTCTGATCATACAACAACACGCACCGATAGACTAATAGGGATAGTAATTCGTAATTCCTGAATAACTCCTGTTGAACAACCTACATTTGAAGAAACAATGGTTAAACTTATCATATCGCTTCCATTCATACGGTTATCCGATCAAGAGTAGTCAATTACAGATGTAACACGTGTGTTGGGTCAAAATTTCCTCAATTGTTAAAAAGAACAATGGTTAAGTTAGAATATGGAAAATAAGGAAAAGAGTACTCGTAAAATGGAAACCCTTTTGACATGTTTGATGTCAAAATCAATTTATAGCACAAGTTGCTATTCGTTTTAACAAAGAGACCTCCATAACCTTCTTGATCTGAGGTGAAACCAATGAGTCTAGGTTAAAAATAAAATAAAACCACAAACGGAAAGCTATAGAAACCCCAATGCCATGACGTTTTTACTTCCCTAATGTAATAGGCCCTATGATGTTTACATGCACTATAGCCTTTCAACCTAGCCCTATCATTACTTTTGTTTTTTTACTTAACTCTGTTGTTATTTATCAATCGTTTTTATCATTTTATTCACTTTTTTTAATTTTGTATTTCTCTTTAGGCAGTCCTGCACAATTTAGCATTCTAATAATTGCTCCTCTTATCCCTTCAACTCATTATTTTTATAATATGTGTCAAGGGGATAAAAGAAAGATAAAGTTTGCTTTAAATTGAATGTAGGTGCGAAGAAAAAAAAAGAAAGCAGACTTTCAATTATTGGAAGATAATCTTGAAGAGCACGGCGCTGCACACTGCATCGGCTTCGGCAGCCGACGAACATTTCATAAGATCGCGAAGCGGCGATACGAGCTCACACGACGCATCGTTTCCAACGCATCACGCGGACAAATTCTTCGGCTGTGGGGTGGGGGAGACACCAAGTATTGCGTGCCAATCTTAAATCATATGATTGAAACTCTTACTGCATCCAAGCCTTCAATGAATCTCGGCTGCATTTCGACCAAAAGTACTTGTTGTAGTTCGACGTAACTAGTGGCGCCATTATACTTCCAATCGTCGACTCGTAGGAACAGTTATTACGTGTTGTATCGTGCATCATCCCCATACTGAAAGTAAAACCACACATGGAGGAAGTTAAAAGTACATCTTAAATCATACGAATGTCAAAGAATGAACTTGCCTCTACTGCAGCTACCACTTGACCACAGGGCCCGACGACCGGTCCTATAATCATTGACCGGTCCTGTAATAATTGATTTTACTATACTTTAATTAACTTTATTTTATACTTACAGGTGACCGATTTCGTGAGCAACAATAAAAGCTGCCGGTAAACCCTGGTCCTTCACAATCGCACAGTTCTGGGTCCATTTACACATACCCGTTACCATGGCAATACCTGTGAATTAAACAAGGTACGTCATCATTAAACGATTTTAAGCAGAGAAGTTTATTTGCACGCAGGTTCTATAGCGATTTCGCCAGTCATTTTACTTTTTACACTTGTTTCACACTAGAGAAATTTAGACACATTGTTTGCCACAGCAATCAATGTTATTTTTCTTTGCGCCTTGTACACTAGTGTTGGCTTTAACGTGTTAAAGTGATCTAGTGTGAACATGCCTTGCCCTTTTGGGGGGGGGGGGGGGTGGGTGAGATAGTTTTTAGGGCAAGCTTTGGTCCCAACCTAGATTGTTGGTAACGTATGGATTCTAGTCGAAGTCGTCCGTTCCGAACGTCAAAATATACTGTCTATAGATAGGCTTAAACAAAGGTATTGATGTAGCATTTTCACCTAGGCCTATAGGAGAAACCAGACCTAATCAAGGCAATTATCCAAGCCTAACTGAGGTATATCCACTCTTACCAATATAATGGATTTTTTCAAGAATGGCAATCAAAACTTAACAGCTGGTCAATCAGTTGTACGCTCATGTCCCACACGCATGTACGTTACACCGTAGGCTCAGTGTATACAATGGCGAAGAAAGTCATTGATCAAGTTCCTAGTCCACATTTCAAGAGCCCTGAACATCTTACATTAGATGGATTTGTGCGCTATAAAAAAACTACACTATTATTATTATTATTATTATTATTATTATTATTATTATTATTATTATTATTATTATTATTATTATTATTATTATTATTATTATTGCACTGTCGTTTTGTGGGACCTTATAGCAACCATGTATGAATCCATACCTCTTGCTTTTTTTCATCTCTTACCTGCCTGTGGGGATTTGCGTCTTGAAAGGAATACCATTGCATCAAAATGATTTTTGTTTGTTTCGTCCAAACTCTGTAGAGTTGTCGCCCAGCTACAGACCTGATGACGACTATACGCCATGTTGCTTTCTATTATCATATACTTTGACTGTGGGAGAGGTAAGTACAACATTTGGTGTTATCATTTACAGTGAAATAAGTATTACCAAAAGCATTACTTAATTTTTAACTAATATCTACAAGTGTTTTACATTTTGATTATGGGGAACGCAGGATTTAAAAATAGATTTTCACAGGCCTAAAATAAATAAATAAAATTGACGAATACACACTTGGATATTTTTTACAAATATAAATTTACATGTACATCAGTAATTCAAATGCATGAACACGGGAAAGAATGCTAATACATATGAATATAATTTATTTAATTATTAAGTTTCAAAAATTATTATTTGAGGTGAATTTTTAATTTACTTTTTCAGTATTTGTTTTTATTCATAAAGACTACGTTAAAAATGTATAGTTATAGTGTGACGAAAACATTAGCTGTGAATGTGGCAATCTAGCTAGGGTGATATGTCATAATAAAAATACGAAAAAAAAACGTAATCAACAACAAAACTAATCGTGACGTCATCATCACAACGAATTTATAATAATTGATGTTATACATTTAGAAAACAAAGTCATTTTGGGGAAGAATTATATGTGTGTCTATTTGCCTTTTGCTGTTAATTTGTCATTTTACCGATCTTTCATCCAATGCTATAATTCTGACGACTGCAAGGTTGACCTGTGCTTCGATCGTAGGATGCGAATACGCCCTGTCTGCCTACAATGGAGAATGAAAAGACAAAATACATCTTAATAAAATTATGTATAATTCCCAGTAAATTCTCACGGGTGTTGTGTTTTCCTTCGGCTAAACAGTTAAAATGTATCAATTTATTCCATATGAATTATTATCGTTAACATTATCGGTTTCCTTTCCGTTTGCCTCATTATTGTTGTTGTTATCATTATCATCATCACCACTACCACAACAATATTACCATCACCAACGCCGGCACATCCGGAGTATTTTTCGCTCTATGTGTAAAAACCCCTCGAAATTGAAATGAATTTATTGTTTAAAAAATCATTTATTTTTATAAACATAATTTTACATGTTTGGGAATATTATTATTCATCCAGGTAAGTATTGTATCTGGATTGAAATATTGCAACTGAATAAACAAGTAGGCCTAAGTCCAGTAGAAAGATTTATTTAATTCCGTGTATTGATGAATTTACAGTTTTCGCCACACCTCTTCAGGGTTCCGGCGGTTGCCACAATGCCCTTTTCCGCCTGCCCTTTTGCCCCTCTGCCTTTTGCCACGCTGGCCCGTTGCCGACATTGTTTTAGTTATGTTATGATAATGTGTATTTATATTGCAACTTTTCTTTAAGCTATAAAGTGCTGTAAACATAATTACCCAACTATCCCTAGAGAAAAATGCATGTTTGAATGTTAATGTATTCTACTTAACCAATACTCAAACGACCATTTCTCATGATCGTTATTTTTTACCTTTTGTCACACCTCCAAACCTCCTTTCCCCATTTCACCTTTGTTACTTAGGTAACTTTTTTTATTCGTCCCCAAGCGTTGGTTTTAAAATATATGTATTTTACCTGACTAAGGTACATTTACATTGTTGTTTGGATTGTGACCTAATACGGCAATAAGCAATTTGTCAATTTCGGCCAAACTTAAGTGTGTGTTAATTTGGTGTTGCGTTGGAGGTGGGTTACTGACATAAAACATGTTCTTGACATTCTTATCATGACTAACTCGCTAAATTCACGCTCACTACCTGTACATACAACATATTATAGACTGTGGCAATTCTAACTCGTTTCATGTGTTTTAATTTGTTTCCCTTTGAAATTCCTCAGGTGCATTAATGATATAATTGAACCTTTTATCAACTAACCCCAGTCAAATACAACGTTTACGCCTACATATTGTTATGTTTATTACCCATTTTTATAGCTGCATGGTTTAGGTTTAACTATCACCTAGCTAAACGGATCGGCTTTTTCTAGGGGTGGTTTCAAAAAATATTTTTATAGTGCTTTGTAACTTAAAGTACACCGTTATAAATAGGCCTACCCGTTTACGTGTATCTGATTCTTGTTAACACGGAATTTAATTCATGATAATGATGGGTTCCATGTTACAGGGTATAACTCAGTAAGAACGGACGAACGAAGTTCATAAATTTAATTTTGAGGTGAATCACCCTTTTCATAATTATTCATTCCCTTAAATTAACATCTAATATTATTAATCATTATAAATATATCAAAATAGTTAAATAGACATTGAAGCTATAGATAATAGGGAGGTTTCGCAAGCTTACGAAAACGATAACCAATACGGCTACGTCATGAAATGTTTGGTCAATCCATCCCCTACATAAGCAAATGTACAACGTAGGCCATCCGTGCCTTTCACACGATCATATTCAGCTCTTATATGTATTTTCAAGAATGTTTTAAGCACAAATGACGATAAGGAAAATGACGTTCGTATTCGTTACACTTTCGTAAGGTTGCGAAAACTCCCTAATATCGCGTGATATTAATTCCAAATTTAATAGATCTTGGCAGCAGAACTTTAACCACCGCCGGTTATCTGAAGAAGGCAGGGAGTGAAGTAAGGTATCGCCTTATCATTCATAAACCATAACTTGAATGACTCAACCCAACCAGTATAATGCAGATCATGTATTTTCCCGACAGATTTACATAGTTTTCTTAACCTCTTAGCCACTGTGGCTCTGCGGCGCACCCGAAGTAAACCACTTTTCCTGTGGGCAGAGTATTCGACAGGAACAGCCTTACGTTGCTTCTTCCAAACTTTGAAGCACAGGCTAAATTTATCAAATTGTCATAGATATAGTAGACCTAATGAATACAAATTAGTTAGTTGATTGATTAATGAACTTAAAGTAGTTGATTGACAGTGTGACATTGCATTAATGGTGTGATTGACAGGTGTTCATGGGATGCTTCCATATTTTCACATTTTAGGCCTAGTAACTTAGACGAAAACATAAAAACCGAATGAAAAGTGGAAGTATCTTAGGATATTCGAGTCGTGCTACGAAAATCTGCTGCTTCTCACTAATGTAGGCCAACGGCACCCTACTGCATTATCGTTCACCCATTAAACTAATATTCAAAATTCAGATTAATATAGGCCTATTGTCAGAGGGCAAGCCATATGTAGAAAAAGAGTGAGGGTGAAGTTCCTTGCCCCAGGAAAAAAAATGTTCCGACAGGGTTTAAAATAATATGTTTGACTGGTGGTCCGAAGGAGAGTTAAGACCTCCCGTTAGGGGTATTCGGGTAAAACTGCAATCATAATAATATCAGTTTGATTGCCAAAATAATATGTTTAGTCCGGCGATCTCAGACGGGTTCATGCTTGCCATCCGATGGAAAAGGGGTGTGCAGGGGGTGGGGTGACTCGGACTTTTTGACTTTTTGAAAGCCAAAGGCTTTGAGCAACCAAGATAGGCATAGGCCTACTAAGTAGACCTAATTTAAGGTACCGGTACATATTTTGTGTATTAGTGTATTATTTATTGTTTATATATTTATTTAATTTCACTTACAATGTTCACCATTGTCAGTACATAGTCTTCGATTTTTGCCTCTCCTTGCAGATTGATCACTGTGTAATCTGCGGCCACCATCAATTCAATAGTGTAAACTTGATCTCGAGACAGCGCCCTCCGTTGCCTATGTTCCTTTGCTTTCTTGATCGTGTCGTTTAGTAGTAACATATCGTTTGACAAATCGATTCCTTGAAAAAATAAAATAGATCATATTATAAATAAACCAATAAATGAAATCGAATTAATGAAGGGATGATTCTAATCAATGAATAGATCAATTGATAAATGAATGAATCAATCAATCAATCTAGAAGGTATATCAGCGAAAATTGGATTGTTTTGAATTACAGTAGGCCTACTGTGTCTCATTGAATGATTAATTAATCCAACCTTATAAACGATAAATTCACTGTTTTAATTTGATTCTGTTTATGGGTTTCCTGTATTTCCCTCAGATATACTGTATCTTTGATATCATCTATGGACACTTTGGCATTTAAACAAACACAACGCTATATGAACATACATGATAGGCCTTTAGTGTCTTTGTAGGCCCTTCTTACAAGGATGTAATTAATTAATTATTGTCGTTCAACTTAGCACACGTATATGAGACGGGTTATTAGTGCCACGTTGTAATTCTGGTTTAAATTCCTGTTGTAGCTGTTGTTTAAATTTGGTTGGAGGAGGGAGACAGGAGCAGACGTTTAACCCTTTTCAAAGTGTTTTCAAAGTGGATTGACACGGAACAACGACGACGTTGTGGTGATGTCAAGTGTTCTGGTAAAGCCAAAAGTAAATATAATTACATATCACAGATGATTGTTTCTCTGCCATCCGCTTTGTTGCAAATATTTAATTAATAATAATAAAATTATCATATTGTAAGTGATAGAATAAGCACCACTCACGAATAAGTTCAGTTCTCGAATAAGTTCCGTCCTCGAATAAATACCGTCTCGCATAAGCCTATGTGTTCCGCAATGAATCCTCAAAAAAACGTGCCGTGTGACGCTTATTTTATCATTTTAACGGTTTAGTCCTTTATTTGGAGAGTTTCAAAATCGCAAGTATGATGTATGAGGTCGTAGGTAATTAGCTGACTTTCCTATGTTTTTTTAAGGACACGAGTATATAAAAAAGTGTCCCAATATACCATGGTCGACCTTCATAGCTCAGTATAACTTCCGAAGACATTTTCATACTTCTCAATTTAAAATATACATTTTTTCATATCAAGAGGTCAAATAGAAAGTACTAATGTATTAATATGATTCAAAAATATGAAATTTGTAACTACTAGAAAAATTTAATAATGACACTGTGCTAGTATTAATATCTCAACTACTTCCGCGGAAAGTCAGACGATTGCAATCTGTGTTCATTGATAAAATAGAGCTTTCGTAATTGATGCGAATTCTACTAAGTAAGGACGCTTTTTCTTCAACGACGCAATTCTACTATTACTAATGCTGCTAATGCTGCTGCTACTACTATTCGGCCTCCTTCTACTACAATTACTACTGCGAATTACTGCTGCTGCGGCTGGTGCTACAGCAGCTGCTGCTGCTCTGCTCTACTGCGCTGGTGTTAGTGCTTCTGCTACTATTGCTGCCTTTGCTGCAAGGTGCCCTTACCATATTTGTTACCAACACTGTTGTCTGAATCGCTGGATTTTACTGCAGACTTTTTGTAGATGACGTGAAGTTGGCCGGCAGATGACACAGGATCGAAGTCTAATGTAATCGGCTCGATCAAATAATCCTCTCGATTATGAGCGATCCATCCGTGCTGAATGAAAATAGAGAACACATAGTATTTCACATTACACAAAATATAATACACGGGCTCGGAGATTAGTTGGCACATATTCGTTTACATTTAAAAAATTTGATAATTTATATGATTTGAAAGCAAGTCTGACATAACTTTTGACCATAACGTTAATTTTTCGTTGACAATAGTTTGAAAATTGTGTATAGGGTAACTTGAAAAAAGAAGGTTGTGTTTGCGTTTTAGGAGGATCCAAAGTGGTGGGCGATAGTTTTCTGTTCAGATAGTTATGTATTGTTTTATTAATTAATGTAATTAGATAACAATTTTTTTTTAAGTGAGTACAAGTTTTCTTAAATCATTATGAAAACCCAACCATGTGTTGTTAATTTTGAATTAAGGAAGCCTTCAACACTTTCTAAGGAAATTAAAAAACACACGGAAGATAGAAGCTGAACTTTACAAGAACATTTACCAAAGTGGTTCACAACCTGCAAGAATTTATGGATTTCCTAAGTTACATAAGTGTAGGCCTCCTATTGTCTCATCTATTAATACCTATAATTACAACCTTGCCAAATATCTTTGCGAATTATTAAGTCCTAATTTATCGTCTGATTATATTGCTAATGACACGTTTTCTTTTGTTAAAGAAATTAACAGTAACGATACCTTCAATAAATTTATGGTATCGTACGATGTTGAAAGCTTGTTCACCAACATCCCTTTAAACGAAGCAATTTCATTAGCTATTGATTATATCCTGACAAACTAATTGTAAATTATCTAAGGAAGATCTTAAGAACCTTTTTATGTTTTGTACTTCTAAAACTCATTTTCTTTTTGATAATGAATTTTACGACCAAATAGATGGTGTCTCAATGGGTTCTCCATTGGGACCAGGTCCTATCAAACCTCTTCATAGGACACCATGAACAATCCTGGATAAAATCGTTTACTCATGCACCCGTTCTTTTTTACCGACATTATGTTGATGATGTTTTTTGCTTATTTAATTCTGAACACGATGCCGACATTTTTTTCGATTTTTAAAATTCACAACACCCATCAATTAGATTCACCATAGAAAAGGAGTACAACAAAAATTACCCTTTCTTGACATTCTTTTTAAATAACTCGGTTCATAACTCATTAATAACCTCAGTCTATCATAAGAAAACGTATAGAGGTTTGTTAACAAATTTTCATAGCTTTACGTCACATACATATAAACTCGGACTCCTACGCACTCTAATAGACCGTACATTCAAAATTAACAACACATGGTTGGCTTTTCATAACGATTTAAGAAAACTTGCACTCACTTTTCAAAAAAATTGTTATCCGATTACATTAATTAATAAAACAATACATAACTATCTGAACAGAAAACTATCGCCCACCACTTTGGATCCTCCTAAAACGCAAACACAACCTTCTTATTTCAAATTACCCAATACACAATTTTCAAACTATTGTCAACAAAAAATTAACTTTATGGTCAAAAGTTATGTCAGACTTGCTTTCAAATCATATAAATTATCATTTTTTTAAAAATGTAAACAAATATGTGCCAACTAATCTCCGAGCCCGTGTTGTCTACAAATTTACTTGTGCGGGGTGTAACTCCGTGTATATTGGCGAGAAAAATAGACACTTAGAAACACGGATTAAGGAGCATTTAGTTCGGGACAAGTCATCACACATATTTCAGCATCTTCAAAATTCTGTTAAATGTCAAAACACATCTAATTCAGACTGTTTTACTATTCTTGAATCCGCCCACAATACTTATCAACTTAAAATAAAAGAAGCCCTTTACATTGCTTGGGGAAATCCGTCACTCAACAAACAAACGGCTCATTACAATATCACTCTCTCATTCTAATTCATTCTAATTCCTATATACATGACTTACCATAGTATTCTTGTCCTCTATATACATGACTTACCTTAATATTTGCTTGTTCCGTGTTACATCTGACCGGTAGTATTTAAACCGTTAGTAGATAAGCATTATTACCTGATGATGACGTGGGACTATTGTGTCATTGTACTCCTGTCTCTTATACACATCTAGATGTGTATAAGAGACAGCATTACTACCACCTACGTGTTTTATTATGTTGGTAAATGATAACTGGTAAATTATTTACCATTGGTAAATTGGTAAATGATATAATGTGGTGAACTAAATCATTGCTTTTTAAAATTTTTAGCATAGATTTTATAACATGTTAACAAATTTTGTTTACATGTTGACATAGTTCTACACAAAACTTCTGATTTATTGAAAGGAAACAGTTAAACAAGATAAAAATAAAGAAATAATCATCAATGTAAGCAATAACGAAATAGATTCTCACCAAACCATGACATGTGCTAATTGCTACTCTTGAATCGGGGTCACCAACAACTTGACCAAAATAGTGACATTTCCTGTAAACCGTACTCTTTCTCGTCGTGACGTTGTCGTGTACAAATTCTATCTGAAGTCCTGGTTTGATTAACCACCTATTTGTAGTGACATTCAAATTCATGTCTATGCCGTTTCCATTTAGTTTGAAATGGAAATTCTTCTGGTTGATGGATTCTGAACTGCGGCGTTCTCGCCGAGCTTTGGTAATGTCTCTGTATTCATATTGCCCGCCCTCATACTCTGTATCAAGCGAGTGCTTGAAGAACTCCCCCTCGGGAGTGGATCTGTACGGTCGGAGTAGAGTGTACGAGTTGAGTTGGGAATTCAGTTTCTCTGAGGAGATAACAAAAGTTTGGCATATAACAAACGCCAAATTATATTGTAACGTGCGTCTATCAGTACTTTAATTGTAGGGCCTAGTCTGTCACGTAAACGATGTGTTTCTTCTCCATAAATCTGAATTGGGAATTACAAGATGTTTTTAAAAATACAAGTTTCCCATGCGTTATAAAATCCAGAAATATGATATTGAGACTCATATGATATGGGGATTGGTGTTCCAACAGATCTTCCTATCCATCGCGCATGCTTTTGAAAAAGTGCCTGCTTATGTTTATTACAGTCCTGGTTGTAATGGTTGTAGAAATAATGCATATTTATTTAGTTATTTTTAATAATGAGCAACATTTTTAGTGCGGTATCAATCATCTATTCTTCCACATGGCCCATTATGCCCGTTTTAATAATCACATTTTAGGCAGTTGAATTGTTTTAGTCGTCCGAGAAAATTGTATTTGATATGATTTGAGCACAGAGCTTACACGTTAAAAGGCAGGAATCTAACTCCAGACTACATCTTAACAGCAAAGATAAACTGGCGAAGCTGTTTCCTTACCATTACGTTCTGTCCACACCATCACATTTTCTGTTGTATGCCCATATATAGTCATGATGTGCCTATATATGGTCATGATGTGCCTATATATGGTCATGATGTGCCTATATATGGTCATGATGTGCCTATATATAGTCATGATGTTCCCATATATAGTCATGATGTGCCTATATATGGTCATGATGTGCCTATAATTATATGGTCATGATGTGCCTATATATAGTCATGATGTGCCTATATATGGTCATGATGTGCCTATATATGGTCATGATGTGCCTATATATAGTCATGATGTGGTTATGCTGTGATGTCATCACGACCATATTTAGGCATGTCAGATATTTTTGTCAAATAATATTGGATAGTCTGTACTGGACAGGGCTTTACTTGAGTGCCAGTATGTTGAATATACAGATATTTTAAAACCGATATAAAATTAAAAAAAAATAAAAAATAAAACCAGGCTATTCACGGGTGGTGGGGAGGAATTCAATACGAAGTTTATTTCTTCGCTTATTTTCTTTTTTTTTTGTAATAAAATTACTGTTTTTCTTATCTTATTATTTTTCTTAAATTTTGTTTTGGAATTATATAGTAAGCGTCTCTTAATTCGTTTTTCTTATCTCTAATTATTTTCTTTATGATCATGTTATATTGCATTTTATATCTAAAACAAGTAAAATAGTTAAAGAAAAAATTATTAGCTAGCATCAAAAAATGAAATGAGTACCGTACCTTTTACATCTCGTATATGCTTTCCTGTGAATCCAATTCCGTTAGCCTAAAATATAGAATGAAATTATAATTTTTTAAAAATATGTGAAATTTAGTACATATTTAAGGTCATATGTAGAAAAATTAATTTAATGTTTTGGAAATATAGTAGGCCTACAGAGGAATAACTCAGTCCTAATAATATATATAAGTCCTGAAGTATGGTGAGGATAACACATATTATGGGTTATTCTCACAACACTTTAGTCAAATTAGGGATATTATTAGGTCTATAATATGATGAATAATGCAATAATAATAATAATAATAATAATAATAATAATAATAATAATAATAATAATAATAATAATAATAATAATTTTTATTTATTTATTTCTTTATTCTTTATACTGGGAAAAACCTGTTTAGCATAGCTACTGTTCTCCCACAGGGCCCAGTACAAAAAGTCGACAATAACATTCACAATTCATAAAAAGGAGCAACATACATAAACCAGAAACATGAACATCCAGATCATAAAATTTTTTAAAATTGTTAAAATAAAAAACGATCAATACGAACATTTAAAAACATATTTAGAGAAATACAGCAGCAAAAATGGCTAGTTATTATTATTATTATTATTATTTTTATTATTATTATTATTATTATTATTATTATTATTATTATTACCAGTATTACCATTATTATTATAATTACTATTATTATTAGAATTAAACGTTTTGCTAATAATAATAACAATAATAATAATAATTATTATTATTATTATTAGGACAATCAATAATAATAATTATTATAAATAATTATTGTAGAAAGTTGTCAACAGTTTAACTTACACTATCAAAAAAATGTTGTTAGATTTTAACTCATGTTAACATTCCATAATAATACATAATACTCACAACTTCCTTCCTTCAGTTATTGGCTAGACGGATTGGGATTACAAAACCCGGATGAGTATAGCCATAAAAGCATACGTCATCGGTAAAATTGAAAAGCAAAAAAGTCTTTTTGGTTTAATAATTTTCGGGTTTTTCTTTATGAAGGTCAGATAAATAATTATTGTGTCATTGTACTCTTGATACTGTGTAGGAATGTTCATACACTGGTGTTTTATTTCCATGTTGATTTATTTAAAATGTGTTTTTCATGACGAATCAATGAGACCTGATTAAAAAATATGAGTGAAAAACATAAAATAAAGAATGGGCCTACAAACCGAAAAAAGGCCATTCTCAAACACCACTATACCGTATTATTTACATAGAAAAACTGTTTTCTTAACCGAAACTATACAATCTTGATTCAACAAAAACAAAACTATAAAACATATAACGTATAAATTAAATTAGGCCAAAGGTAGAATGTAGCCTAGGGTTAGGTCGCAGCAAGTGAAACAAACCATAGTTTAAGTTATGGCAGATTAGAAAAACACAACTTCCATTCATTCAGATTTAACAGGTACATCGTTTAAATTGTGAATGATTAAATTTTATTTGACAGCTAGACAGCATCTGGTCCTATCCTTGGGGCGTGACTTGCTGCCCAGTGGTTGCAGACGCGCAGTCATATCACAGCTGTCAACTTACGAAAACTAAATTATGTCTAACAACTCCATAAGATCATTTGGTAGGCCCCTATTTCATAAAATCCATGATTAATGGTTTAATTTAAACGTTCATACTTCAAGTGTATTTCCATAATCGTGTTAAAGGAGAAGTTTAGCAATTATAAGTTAAACAAACTGATTCAACATACTCAGTTACTTGTACATAATATTCTATATTTTGAAATTACGTATCTCGGGCTCGTTCTTTACGTAGAGGCTCTCAACTATATCTGTGATGACATCGCAGGTGCATCGTTTCATCCAGGTTTAGTCACAAGCGAAATTGAACGAATACATACGTACGCCTATTAGTGATGTTCATGAAATTGTGTAATAATTTCAAATGACATTTTAATCTATAAATCGGCGTAATATAAGGATTTATTTCCCAGCAATCACAAAACGCAAGAAAGGATGGTAGAGATAAGCCAATAGTTCCATTTCCTGGCTTAGTGGAGTGGTTTTATATTGTTCTTAACATAGGGCCTACCTTGGGACAGTCACTGATTTCATATTATTTTCCTACCTCATACTAAAGGCTCAGTGATTATAAATTGTACGGCATTAATGGTTTGGCGCAGTGGAAATGGTTTGTTTTGATTTCCCAAACTTGAGGTCGGGGTTTTAATCCTTCTCTGTGCATTCCACTTGTGATCTTAAGCAAGGCAATTTATCTACATTGCTTCAGTCTACTCAGCTGTAAATGGGTACCAGCGATTTGCTGGGAGTAACCTGCGGTTGACCAGCGTCCCACCCAGGGATAGCATTACGCTCTCATCCACTTTACGCCAATTTAAACTGGGGAAAAGCTCCAGCCTTATGGGCCCAGTGTCCTTCAAGGATTTACTGTACTTTATTAACCCATAATTAGACCTGTGTGTGAAGACACGTCGTTTGAGTAAGAATGGCAATTTCTAATGCAATAGACATGCACTAATAATGATAATAATAAAATATACTAACGTTATTTATTATAATATTAGAGATAATGATGCTAAAATAACAAACCAAATTATGTTTATAAATTTTAACGATGAATGCATTTAATACATAGGCCTATACTATTTTGTTCGCTATTGTTTTATTGGAAAATATGACTATTGATTAACAAATTCTATAGCCTAATTCTCATTAAATATATCGGAGAGCTGGACATAATAGGCACCAAATTGTATAGGCCTTTTGATTAAAAAAAAAAAGGATATTGTAAGGGCGGATCTAAAAATGACAAGTGACCTCATAGTCACACGAGGCATCTGTATCAAAACTGTATTGACTGTCAACCCAATAAAAAGTACAAAGCCATAGAAGGTGGAATTGTTGAGATATATTTTGGTATGAAGAAAGTGGAACAGCTGAAGCCATAGAACATTTTCTTTTCACTAAGAAAGAGACAATTTTTTGAACCGCATTCTTGTCGAAAGATGAAAGAATATTAGGCTAATGCTACAGTATGCCGTACCGGTGGCTTGCGCCTGTCACTTTGTCTATTGTAAAAGAATACACCACATTTTGCAAAATATAACCATCACCAAGTATTTCTTAACACTCCCTAACATCAAAAGTGCAAAATGGGGGTTAAATCTTTGTTTAAATTCAGATCTCAATACTCGGTTATCGCCAAGCAACAGTGACTGGAAAGTTTGACTGTTGCTGCTG